TCTTGTTCGTGTTTTGTTGGATAAGAGCACAAATAAAAATGGCGATAATGGAACTAGTATAATTTTTTTTTCATAAAAATATCTCATAATTCATTTTGCTTTTTTTAGGATTTATACGACGTTAGTCGTGTTAAAATGATTTTTCGGGTTTGTGTTATGAAGGCAACTGCACCATTAAGCGTAGATACTCTACCCGCAACTGTTCGAAAGGTTCTAAACCTCTTTAAAATTACTAACATGGCGAGATAAAATTTTGTTTTTTGTAAAATATTTATTATTTGTTTTCTATTAAAGAATATACAAGATATTGTCGCATTAGCAACACTTACCGGTCATGCAGCTCCAGATGTACAATTTGATTTAATCAATAATATGATTGACGCAATATTTCAAGTAAGTATAATAAATAGCAATTCGAATATATTAAATCGTAAATTTCTCGTATTTTAGGATTAAGAACTACTCAGGACGACGATTTTGGAAGCAGTATTTCATGAATGTCCGAGTGAAACCTGCGGCCAAACTACCGCTTCTGGTCGAAACCAGCATGGAAATGTCAGGAATTCGTTCGTCGGAATTGTCTAGAACCGACCGTTTCCGGGCCGGATCTTTCGATCTGGGATTATCTAATACTCAACGATTCATGCAAAACAAGCAATACCCGTTCTTTTTTTGTATCGCAACGAGCTTGAGAATTTGTTTTGTTCACTGATTATGATGAATAAAAAAATAAATAAAAGGCGGCAAAATGGAGCATAATTTTGGAAACGCTTGTCATGTTGAACTTAATGAACATTTCATGATTCTATCTGACACATTTAGTCTTTGAGAATAATTAATTGAATTAGTTTTCGATTTTCAAACAATCTGAACTTTATTTTTTTTTTGATTGCTTGAATCTAAATGTTGAATGAATTTGAAACCAGGTTTATCAAAACAATAAATCTAAATAGAAACATTAAAAACTGTCGATTTTAATTATCTTCAAATTCTATTTGAACAACAAGATGCTTCATCTTTATAGAAATAAAAATCTAACAGCAAGTTAGTGGTTAAAATCAAAATAAAATTTAAGCAGAACGTTGAATATTTAATTTACGATAAAAGTTGCTTTTTTTGTATAAAACATGGAATAGAAATTTCTTTATCATATTTATTTTGTTCTATATTACATGTACATCCAAGTAAACTACAATCAAGGTGATTATCTATCTGTTTCAGCAAACAGCACCACTTGTTTTATCAAAAAGAACGTTTTAATCAACAAATTTCAATTATTAGAACTCTTTAAACATTATCAACTGCAAGAACAAGTGATCGGATAATTATCGACAAGACGTTCGACCACCAGAACTAACAATATACAAATATTTCAACCTTTTTCAAATATTTGCTTACATATATTCTATTTAATTTTGTCCATATAATTAAAAAAAGAGAAAAATATCCAGCGAAAAAGATCCTTTTATAACTAATTAAGGGGTTGGGTATGGGTTTAAATGAAGGATGAGGTGAATACTCACAGCCACCCACACCCTTAAGATTCGATGCTACATAAACTATTATCTCTATAGTAAAAGCTTCTCTGTGTAAGAAGGTTCCTTCTGAGAAAATGTTGTCTTGAAAATAATAGAACTTCTCCTTAACTGCTCATTTAATTAAAAAATTGTAAGTGTAACTGGCATCTTGAATCCGAAATATGGTTAATTTTCAAGTTCTCCGCTGAAAAATAACAAAACCTGTTACTAAAATGGTTTACTTACATTTTAATCCTGAAAAATTCTTTTAAAGCTCTCAAAACACCGCAGTTTCTTGGAAATATTTTATATTGTTAGTAATTAAAAAAGAGAAATTTACAGAAGACTTTTTTGACATTTTTTTTCTGTTCAGACATAAGTGAATGTGGAATGGAGTTATTGTCGAGAGTGTTACATAAGTTTAAGTCTTATGTTTATTGTTCTTTATTTTTGTCATATTTAAAGATGGACAGGCATTGAAAAGATATATGTAAAGAGTGATATTTCAGCTATCAACCGTAATTAACTGTATTCAATTTATATCAATAGTAAAGAAGTACCAAACTAACAAAAGATCTTTAGGTAAGGTCTAACCGTGTCACTTTTGCTACACATAAAACGGCTTGCTTTTTCATGTAACCTTGACTGTGTACTGCTTCAATCCTGTTCTTCTCGCTGTTTCGTAATACATTTCTCTGTGAAAAAAGATAAGAAAAATGAAGACTACAGATTTTTTTCTCATTGTATTCCTCTGAAACATTTGTTTATTAATCAATTAATGTATTACACAAACAGAGCAAAGTCTGTATTTGATTGTTTTGCTTTTTGAAGTCTTTCTTTGCCCGTTTCGGATAGACTGCAGTCAATCATCCCGAGTCCCTTCAATGATCGGTTGTGTTTGATCATGCTGCAAAGAGAATCAATACACGAGTCAGTTACTAATTTATTTTCGCAGAGAAATAACCATCCAAGACTTGTATTGTGATTTTTGAGTACATTGGCCAATAGTTCAACACCTCGATCGCTTATTTTATTCTTACGTAACCATAAATAAGTCAATGTTCTGTTTGTCTTGAGCATTTCAACTAGATATTCTGCACCCAAGTCTGTTATGCTATTCTCTCCAAGATCAAGTCCCTTGAGGGTATTATTATTAAACGCAAGTGCTTTTGCAAAAGAATCAACACCAGTGTCAGACACACGATTATGTCCTAGATATAACTCAGTCAGTGTAATGTTGGCGTACAATGTTGAAGCGATAGTCGAGACACCGATTGATGTGATTTTGTTCATCGCTAGGAAGAGCTTTGTACACTCTTTTTTTATGATGGCCTCTTTAACTACAATTTCCATATCACTATCGGTCAATTGTTGTTTAGACAGAGATATCTCAGAGCGAAGTTGATATTGTGCAATGTTTTGCTGAAGTTGTATATTTTGATATTTATTAAATTCTACAAGAGAAGAAAGAAGTTTCTATTTCAGGTACATTTAAAAATGTGGGCGCAGGTGTGTGGTGGATTTAGCACTCATAGTTACACCCACACCCTCAGTAGTTTTGGAGAATATCCGAAAAGCCATCGAGGATCTTTTCATTGATTTCAGTAACTCCGTATTTTGTGATGTCTCTCAGGTGAATATCTTATTTAGTTGCCATCAAAACATACAGATATGGTACAATCGATAAATGAATCAAGTTTTCTTACCAGCTTCTATCGGCGTTGCCTGTTTGCCTTGACTGCTTGCTATTTGCAGATGACTGCTCATATCGAAAGGTGGTTCAAATAACTGTTGATTGTTAGCCGCGGCTGTTGACAAGGGTGTCAATGTTTTCGAACGTTCTTCGCCAACATCTAGAAGATGTGCATTGACAGAAAGATCACAATTAAAAGCCATAGTTATTTGTTACTTGAGTCTTGCGATTCAGGTAAATGAATCAATAAAATCTAGAAGAGATAACTTCGTCTTGATTTCAATCGAAAAAAACTATCGTTTGATTCAACTCAGAAAAATGATTTTTTTTATCATTATTATCGCCTGTTTAGTGAAATATCAATGGCAAGCCTTTCTTTGCTTTCATCACTCAAAACGGAGACATTCTTTAAAAAGAGGGTGAAGCTTCATGCATGATTCAGACACTGGGGCAAGTAAGCAAGAGCGACAAAAATGACTATCAATGCGAAATAAATCTCTTTTATTGTTTTAAGCACTCGTCTCCATGTGACTCGTGCGCAATGACTCAATAGTTTCTTTATTAAAGAGAAAGATAAGAGAACACCATTTTCAATGTGTGTGTAACAAATAATAGAACAAAATGATGCTATATGGAGGGAGTACGCATGGTTTTTCATGCTTTGTACCACCCATATGAAATATGAGATAAGAACTTTTTATCAAGTCATCGTTCTTCTTCTACCATGAAAATCATTACACAACATTTTCGAACAACTAAAGATGCAACGTATTCTTATTTTTCTGGTATTTGTTGTTGCTCTTACACAGAAAGCTAATGGGAATTATGCTCAGGCCGAAATGTATCTCTCAGGAACGAATGACTTTATTGGAACGATCAGCTTCAACGAGCAGGAAGTGGCTTGGGGTGTTATCATTTCCGGTTCTGTTAATCGTTTGAGACCCATGGCAACGTTGGTAATATAATTATTACATTTTACTTTGTCTTTCGTTTGAAGAAGAAAGAGTCGGTTTGATGTCTTCCGTTACATTATAGAGTTTTACTATTATTCTTCATATTTTTACAACAAAAAGAAAAACAGCGATAGTAGAATGTCATAAATCAGTTTTTCATAATATTCTCACGTTAAAGAGCACCATTTATGATTGTTTTGATACCCAGTTATAATCAGCCAAAGTTCCACAAATGGCTTGTCATAGTCTAAACATGATTTTTTTCAATAAGCATTACATTTCTATTAGGGTTTTCATATTCATTCATTACCCATTGATGACAATCACAATTGTTCAGCTGGTGGAGCTCATTTCAATCCCTACAGTAAGTTCAGTTTTTTAGAATACATTGATGAGTTTTATACTTTATCTGTTATGATAGATGTGTCTCATGGAATGCCTAGAGATTCACAACGGCATGTCGGCGATTTAGGTAACATTGAAACAGATGGTAATGGCAGAGCCTATATTGCAATGCGTGATGATGTCATTTCGATTGGATTCGATAAGACAAGAAATGTAATTGGTTTACCGCTTATGATCCATAATTTGACTGATGATGGAGGTCACACAGGCAAAGGCGAAAGTAATACCACTGGGTAAGTATTCATATACTGGATTGTCACTTTTGTTAATTGTTATTTTCATCGAATTTGTAGAAATGCTGGTCCTCGTATAGCATGTGGTACAATACGTGTCCGCTAAATTGCGTTTTTTATTTCTTTTTTTAAATAAATATTGCTTGATTTAAAAGAAAATAATGAAGATCTTTGCAACTGCTGAACTATTCAAAACTAAATATTGATTGACGGTTAAAGATTTTTAGTTCTACCAAAATTTTTTATGTGTACTCATGATCATCCAAAAAAAGAGAAATCTATATGCAAACAACTTGTCCACGTAGGACTATATGCCGATTCAGATATCTTACAAAATACGCGATTACCCAAAAAAGTCATGAAATATATACCGGACATAGATTCTCATATTTCAAATATGTGAATCTTTATAGTAAAGGTAGCCAGTAGACAAAGTTTTCTTGTGGGTGGGTATGGGTGAAAGAGAACAACCACACCAACACCCAGACCCAAACATAAATGAGTGAAGAAAGTGAAAATAAATCGATACTAAACATCTTTTATTTGAATAAAAACGTTTATATTAGTTTCTAAAACTAAATTTGATTGATTTAGTTAGTGATGAAATGTTAATATTAGTATTTTTAATTGTTAGTATTGTCGATAAGATAAACGAGGTTTTTACTTAAAAAACTAATTGTTATAAATTGATTTAAAGTTATATATCGTAGAAATGAAGTTTGTCAGGATTATTTGTATGTATAACTAGACATTTATCGTTGATTATAGATGTTGACGTGATATTTTCTGGATAACCAAAGATAATTTCGTTATTAAGTTCCCTATCGTACTTCAGTAAATAAATGTTATTTTGTGAACATATAGTTGCCATATACTCGTATTGCTCGTTTCGAGGTAATGCGAGAAGCCAAGAAAAAGAACCGTAACCAACCTTAGTCATGTTTTGCAACTTACTCATATCACTAGGATTACGTAAACTAAACCATTGATCACGAAAAATTCTACCTTCTATATCTATTATAAATCCAAGACGAGTACCATCGCTATTGAATCGAATTTGACTAATTCCTGTATACGGAATATTTTCTTCAAATGTTTGTTCCAACTGCCAATTAGATAAATTGTATTTCTCAATTTTTGTTCCGTTACTGCAAATGAATGTTTTCTCATAGCAGGTGCAAATTGACATAATTTGATCAAATATTTTAATTTGTTTCAACTGTTTTTCATTGGTATCCAGTGCATACAATTCACCTGAACGACTCAAAATAATAAATTGATTTAAATATGATGACCAACACATATCATAAAAGGTAAGATCAGATTGTACACTTAACTCTTCATTTCCTTGTTCATCAATTAACAAAAAACGATCGTGTGCGTAACAGAGTAAATATTTTTCATTCGAAGCTAATACATTACGACAGTCGTTAACGTCGATAGACAATCGTGGTTTCGCTTGTAGAGATAAAATATTCAATTGTCGTGATTGATTCGTTGCTTCCGAACTCATATCTGAAACAAAATTGTATGATCAATAATGATCTTGTACTAGTCTTTCAAAATTGAGAACAAATATTTCTACGATTGTTTCTTTCTCTTATCTAGTTAGATTCTTGCTATGAATTTTACTTGTTTAGTTATGAAACTACAGTATAGTAATCCTTTAATAACACTCACCAACAACCGAATTAGACGAAAAATGTTGAATGTAATAGTTAATCGTCAGTCGCGTCTTACTAAAAAAATAAGTAATCGAAAGAAAGAGGCGATAAACAACGATATTTTTTTCTCGTCGTACATATAACGAACATACCTATAATTATCATATAAATGGAAGAGGAAAAAGATCCACGTTATCGAGCTATTTTATATTAACGCACATGCTTAGTCAGTCAAATACAATTGCTTGTCGTCAACCGATTTTTATTTTTCTCGCTTTATACATAATGGCTCCTTGTTGATACTTTTCTAGTGTACGAAGAGAGAGTGAAATATATATATATATGTGGAAATCCTTGCAAAACGATCAAAAATTGTCTATATATAGTCACAAAAATCCTCCATTTAAATACTGAAATTAAGACAAGCATAATGCTATTGACATTTGGTTGTTTTTGAGAACAAAAAAATATTTTATCGAACTGTCATAATCTGAATGTCGATACGCTTATCAAACGGTTTGGTTAGAATAGAATACAAAAGTAATTAAAGGAGAAGCTAACGACAATCTAAATAATATGCCTAAAGTCACGCTACTATACAGACAAAATATTTTACTAAAAATTAGATTGTCCTCAATCAACATGAGAAATAATAAAAAAATCTGAATAATCGGCAAAGATGTCATTGAAAATGGCTTTTGTTTTTCAAACCATTCAAGTTACTTAGAGTGTTGAATCAAAGAGAAAAAATGATGTAAAGAAAAAATATAAAACTACACTGGTAATCATATTCGCATCATCACTATAAGCAAGCAAAACGAGTAACTGATGGTTGACGATGAAGAACGAGCCAAATAGTTACTTAGAAATTATCCTCGCGACGCATTTACAGAAGCAAACAACTGTGCAGAAAAAGAAATCAATTATTTATTCCATCTTATACCATGTCATCTTGACAAAACGGTCAAATCTACGTCAGACACCTCAGAAGGATTTCAAGGTCATTCAAGTTAGAAGAATATCTTACCTTAAAATTTTGTCCTTCAACACAAGATCACTCGATTAGCACGACCTGCAAAGGAGTCCTCCTGAGGGTCGGTGTGGGTGTAGATACCTTTGTTAGTATACTCACACTCACATCTTTAAGTACACTTCGCCTCTTAGAATTAGTAGTAGTTTATTTATTTTCAGAGAGAATTTTATTGGTTACTTTATATTTAAAATTTTTTGTGTTGAACAGATTAGAGATAAATAATGAAGTCTATGGAAATTTTCTATATTGTTTTACACATCCAAAACTAATGTTTTGAACTTTGAGTAATTGCAATACATATAGTTCCATAACTAGAAATATTATTATGAAATAATGAATTACTGTTCAATGTATGGATACTAATGTATTTGTTATTAATATCCATAGTCGCAAAGTTTTACTGAAATTCTTAATATTGAATGAAGTTAAATAGCAGTTCGGATCGTATAATGTTTTATAAGCGTAATAGTTTTAGTAGAGTAGTAAAATATTAATAAATAAATAGATAATAATCATCGATAAGCCTTAACAATGTAAGAGAACACCGACGTTGCTCGAAGCAGATTTTGCAACAATAATATCGGGTTTATTATCGTTATTCACATCGATGACTGCTACTGATGATGGAGAAGAGCTAACTGCGTAAGTAATTTGAATATTAAAGGTGCCACTGCTTGCATTGAGCAGAACATTGACGTCGTTCGAATCAGAGTTTGTAACAATAATATCAGGCTGATTGTCACTATTCACATCGGTGACTGCTACTGACCATGGAAAAGTGCCAACTGGGTAAATAGTTTGCGCATTAAAGGTTCCACTACCTGCGTTGAGCAGGACACCGACGTTGTTCAAACCATAATTTGCAACAATAATATCGGATTTATTATCGCCATTCACATCGACGACTGCTACTGAGTATGGTGAAGAGCCAACTGAGTAAGTCGCTGAAGTATTAAAGGTACCATTGCCTGCGTTGAGAAGAACACTGACGTTGTCCGAATTAGAGTTTGTAACAATAATATCGGGTTTGTTGTCGGTATTCACGTCGACGACTGCTACTGAGTATGGAGAAGAGCCAACTAAGTAAGTAGTTTGTGCATTGAAGATGCCATTGCCCTCGTTGAGAAGAACACTGACGGTGTTCGAAACATAGTTTGCAACAACAATATCGGGTTTGTTATCGCTATTCACATCAGCGACTGCTACTGCTTCTGGTTTAGTGCCAACTGAGTAAGTAGTTTCATTAAGAAAAAGATTGTAGGCTATCAAAAAACAAATTATTTTTAGGAATGTTGAATTGTATAGGATTTGAATAACGTGATCTCAGTTAGTATACAGCTGATGAACAGAATCGGATAGGCGTTTTTGAACCATTTTCAATAGTCTCAAGTCTAACTGAAATAATCTTTTGCTCTACTCTATATGCTATCTAATACCACCTCCTAATCAAGGGTGGGTGTATGATGGATATAATACGTATACTTACACCCTCTCCCTCTTTAGTTTTATACACAAATGCTAGCTTGCCTGTGTAAAAAGATTATTTTTCCATCTTGAAAAGTTTTCTGTCCAACAAATTTGTCTTATTTTTTCGGATTGAAGGTGATTCGAAGTACTGAACACTAGATTTTTAAATCTCGTAAAACCATTTCTCTTTTCAACAACTGACGTAAGCACTAGATATTTAATCCAACACTCACTAATGTTTGTTGCTGCTGATGTTGCTTCTATTGCTTCTGATGTTGCTTCTATTGCTGCTGCTATTGATGATGTCGCTTCTATTGCTGCTTCTGTTGACGATGTTATTGAAGTTGTAGTTGATGTTGATGTTGTTGAAGTTGATGTTCTTGTCGAAGTTGATGTTGTTGTTAATGATGTTGTCGAAGTTGATGTTGTTGTTGATGATGATATTGTTGTAGTTGTTGATGGCGTTGATGTCGATGATGTTGTTGATGATGATGTTGTTGTTGACATTTCTGTTTTTATTATCGTTGTTGTTTGTGTTATAGATTTTTTTGTTGTTGTTGAAGATGTAGTTTCACTCTTCTTTCCGTTTGGCATAGTTACATTATAAAAGTATGCCTGCTTTATTTGTTCTTCCGTTATTTTAGCTTCTGACAAATCACTGTTTGAAAAGTGTGCACCTGTCAGATTTGCACCATTAAAACTAACACAAACTAAAGATGAACCATCAAATTTCACGTTATCTAACCGTGCTCCATCAAATGACACACCATTTAAATTAACAGATAAAAACTCTCCATTTGACATTGATATTTGATCAAATGAAATGCATTGTAAATTCAACTTATTTAATACACCAGTTTCACTTGTTAGACGTACATTATCAAAACTTAATTCATTCAAACGAATTATATCATCTAATTTTGTCGTTCGACATCCATTACTACAATTATTTCTACCAATTAATTGTTTTTCTTTAAGAAATTGTATAACATCTGCATTACGTATTGTATCCCATTGGCGATGAGCAGCACGATAATATGCATTTGCAAATGCCCATGGATTTTTTATGTCATTAAGATAACCATCTTTATCTAATTTATAAATATTATTTAAAAATTCATCATAAAGTGTTTGTTGTCTTAATTCTCTTGATTGTTCAAAATCAAACTTTTGTTTCTTCTCAGCTTGTTGTTTTTGTTGTTCAGATCCAATTGAAGTATAAATAGCAAGAGCTATGGGTATAGCAACTGACGATATAATACTTAATATATCCTTGAGTGTAAAATGGCAAAACGCTCGTTTGTTAATATCTATCATTGTCTCAATCTAATTTCAGAATGAACAGTAAAATATTGTGATGTGTTTAAATATAAAGAAAACACAATGCTTGCTCTTAACTAGTCTTTCTCTCTTATTTAACAACATATTAAATAACAGTTTTAATTATATTTCATATATCAGTGTTCTGATTTTTCCAGTGAGAGATATCCTATTTAAATAATTTCGTTAAAGTCATGACAAGTACTGCAATGTATGATATTTTCAAAATCATATGTTACAAAGAAAAATGAAGGAAATGAGCAAGTAACTATTCATTACAAGCACAACAATAATTAGAAAAACAGTTTCTTGTTACTTTTACTATATTGGACATTGAATTTGATCTACAATAACAAGAATATATAGATACTGATAAATGAAGATCAATGGGGGCGATGAAAGAAGAAAACCTATATTGTTGATTTAAATATAGGAGATTTCTTTGTTTGTCTAAATACAATACAAAATCACAGAACTCAATTAATTCTCCAAAATAACGGAAAATACATTTTCACAGTAAACTGTGAAATGATCTGATCATATTTATTTTAAAGTTCTGCTAGAAAAAAGAAAAAGGATACTCTAGACTTGATGAATCATTTCTTTTCTTTCAGATTTTTTATACAAAAAACCTTTGATATGCATAAGTTATAGTCTAAAAGTGTAGTAGAAACAATTTTATATCTGATTCAAATTATTTAAATTTATAGTTTATCTAAAATAAGAATATAATTACAAAAGCAAAAGACATTTGTTGTGTGATAATAAAATGAAAAGAAGACTAAATTGTCGATTGGATCTATCTGTTATATCTATGTATTCATATAAAATAAACAAGAATACAGTCAAGAATGTCCTTCAGAAAATGTCTTTGCAAAAATGTCCGTGGTTTTTCGTCCTTCAGAAAACGTCCTTCATATTAAATGTCCTCTGTATAAATGTCCTTGAGAAATGGTCCTTTTGAAAATGTCCTTTCACTAAAAAGAAGTCGACAATGTTAGTTTAAAATATTGATCTTGAGGGTATGGGTGGATGTGGGTGCCAGTGACGGCATTCTTTTCATTCCACACCTTCACTCTCACCCACACCCACACCCGCCACGGACATTTTTGCAAAGACATTTTCTGAAGGACATTCTTGACTTCCACCATAAACAATACGTCGACAATATTCTTAAATTAATCAACTATACAGTAATGATTTATAAACTACTTTCAATTTACTACTTCTTTTGCTTAAGAGTTACTTTCGCTCTGATTCTCAACAAAATATCAATATTATTTTGGATCTTGATCGTAAGTAAATAATAGAAAAGATTTTTCAAATGAGAGTAACCTATAACAGATAAAATATTTGTTCATTCAAGTTGCTTGTATAATCGAAAGAAATTATCTTACTATAAATATTATTCATCATGACATTAATTTAAATATAATTAGATCAATCATTTTGAAATTTTTAATACATCAGTCATTTATACTTTAATCAAAAATTTGCAAGTTAAGACATTATATTTCAGTCTTTTGAATGATTACATGTGTCAACTGGAAATATAAAAATATATGAAAAAAGTATAAAATATTTTATAATATATTTTGAATTCTTCATTATACAATATCCGTCGGGTCTAATATCATCAGCACCTGGTGATATCCAACAGTCTTCGGATCCAGTTTTATCACAGTGGTGTATTGCTTAGCATTAGCATATCAACAATACTGACTTAAACAAGAAAACATTTTGTTTAGGCATATATAACTTAGCACTGATATATCATGTAAATGAACCCACTTAAGAAAAAAAATTCCATCTTAACGTGTAGTAGTCGTCATTGATAAACTATTGAGATGAAGCGCATGCTAAAAATTGTACCATTTCATTTTTTCGGATTGTATTTCATGAAATGATTATTATAACATAAGTGAAGGTTTAAGAAATAAGACTTGCTGACAAGCACTTCTTTGGGTGTGGGTGTGGGTGTGAATGGATGTTCTCTTTATATCAGCAAGAGACAGAGACACCCACCCCCACACCCTCAAAGAACAAGAATCAGAACACAGCTTTAACGAACATTTTCAAAAAAAATGAGTTAGTAAATTACGTAAGAAGATTAATAAAAAATATTAAAGTCATAAAATATGAGAGAAAGAAGGTAGAATATGTGTGCTAAAAGTAGAAGAGCTGATGGTAATGAATAGTAGCTATATTTACTATTCATTTCTCCTACTTAGAAATAACGTCACATATATTGTCAAATATTTCGTATGAAAATAAGTCCAAATCACCTTTTGATTAAATTGATACAAAAAATATGAGTCAATATAATGATTAAAACTTTTTCCAGTTCATTAAGTTTGTTAATTGGTTACATTTCCTCATTATAAAATTGTAGATAACGTATATTAAATGAAACATGACGAAAATACAAATAATCATTGATGTGAATGGGATATAGTAGTTTAAATTATCAAGATAAAGAAATGGTTTAGCAGCCCAAACATATTCATCATTGTTTGCCCAAATAACTTGATGAATACCTAGATATTTGGTTAGATAATACAATAATCGAAATGGTGTGGCCATATTTTGGAAAGTTTCATGTGACCAACCAAATGCTCTTGTATATGATGAAGCAAAAATTCCATTGACCAGAAGTGTCCCATGTAATGTTAATGGATTGAAAGCGCCTTGCTTTTTTTCAATTTTAATACTTCGAATACGAGCTTCTCTAATATTACCAGTCGTTTTATCGATTACATACAAACTATGATTCAATGTCAACTGAGAAGCTGATAAGTATTCAAAATATGGAACACGAACATAGTGTGTACTAGTAAGGCTAAAACGATGACCAGTAACTGTTTCCACCGTGTAGAAATGAACTAAATTAACCGAAGAAATGCGTTATCAAGTGTAGAAAAGGTATGAACAACAAAATTTACTATGCAGGAGATCTGCTAAAATCTAGAAGCACTTTTAAATCGAGGATACGTTTAAATGATAAGTAAGACACTTAATAATAATCATCATTTGAAGTTTTTAAGGATACATTGGTGTTTTCTACTGAAGATATTATCTTGATTCACATAATAAATAAATGCTTTAAAAAAAAACTATAAGCTATTGTTTCATTCAGTACCGTTTGTTTCCTTTCGTGTTTAGAGGATATGAGACTGAAAGATTTCTTCATAAACACTTCTGTAAATTCTTTCATATACTCAAACAGGATATATATAAGGATTTATGAAAATATACATCGTACTCTCATAAACTCTCCAAAGTTTTATTATACTACGTTTTTTTTGACGTATAGTGCGTTGTTATTATTTGACATAAAAATATACTCTCAAATACTGACTTAATCATTATGTGAAGATCCCGAAATTTGCTCAAGTCAATAGTTGTTCTCAATTAAAAATGGCTTTCACAGGAACTTCTAACAATACTCAAACAGGTTGAGCACAGAACGCACAAACGTGAAGGTTTTAAGAATATGAAGACTTACCTATTCTGTTTCGTACATTGTGTGGCATAACAAAAACTTCAGATAAAACCAACGTCTTCGTATCATCGGATATTGTCCAAACTAAGTCGCCAACCTGAAGATCACGTATAGCTCTTAGGCTTCCATCAGCCAATGTAACATTATCATCTCCAGAAAAGCACGAGTCTGCACACGTACTCATAGCACAGTTATTGCTCGCACAATCAGTGTTCGTACTGCAAGCACATCCCTCTGCATACGGAATAGTAGAGCATGCTAAAACAAGAAAATATATTATTAAATCATAGTTTTCGCATATGGTCACAAAATAGGCTTTGTAATACGAAAAGTAATTCTTGAGGGTGTATGTGTGGATGTAAGTGAGCGAGAAGGTGTGGACAGAGAGAAGCCATACTGACACCTACACCCACTAACACCATCTTCAGGATGTGGGTGAAGTAGTGGGTATGGGTGTCGGTATGACTTCTCTTTATCCACACCCTCAAGATATTTCATTTTTTCGTCATTATTCTTTTTATATTTAGTAATATTGATTGGTAAGTTTCAAGTGTTAAAGAGATTTCGTTTAACGAAGAAATTTTCAAAGTCGAGTTTGGAAGGTAAATCTGGGAAGAGACTGTTTAGTTCAAAAACAATTGGTTCCGAAAAAGCTTTGGCTGAATGTTTTTTTCTGTCATTTTGAGATGAATCGATCTGCGATTTACACGTATATGTGCCCCAATGTCTCTATCGCGTTGTCTTAACTCTCAATAACTTGAAATTATTTTTGAAGAAGAAAATAATTTTTTTCTCTCACAGATATATTTTCTTCGAAATCTCTTCTATTTTTCTACTGACCCGATGAAAATCGTGTTCCACTAATGGCATCCATACTAGTAGCATCCACATCAGCTAACATATTTCCGTTTTGGTTCACTGTATTATCAAATAATTCACAATTAAAAGTCGACTCATAAAAAGTTGCTGCTGTACATTGACTTTGAGTCAAACAAGCTAATTGACAACTCCTAATGTTTGATGTAGTAACATTATCAAATGGTAAGCACGTTGTATTCGCACATTCAAACGTGGAACCAGGCATTAACGACATTATCATCGATTGTATATCTTCTCCGACTATTTGTGTAATAATCATAAATAAAATACATAAAGAAACTGTTGCTGAAGCCATCAGTCACCAGATTCTAAGTTGATCAAATGAATTCGATTCATAGTAGAAGACAAAGTATTTATTGAACAATAAATTCTTTTTTTTTCTGATTTTCCAATGGGTATTGCATAGTTTTTTTCCAGAATTCAATTCATCAATCTAGCGGAAAAACAGTCCTGACGTCTTTTTTCCCGAATTTAATTCATCAATCTAGCGGAAAAACAGTCCTGACGTCTTTTTTTCCAGAATTCATTTTATTAATCTACCGGAGAAACTGTCCCGGCATCTTTTTTCTAGAATTCAATTCATCAGTTTAATTAACAAAAGTAGTCAAATCTTTTTTTATTTTCAAAAATATTTATCTAACGGAAGAGACGATTTTCCTATGTGTTTAAATGTTATTTGAGGACAAATATACTTATCAATAGTACTTTTGCGTTATATGAACGATTAATCTAACAAAATTAAATCTGAAAAGAAAATATAATTAACATTTAGTTGCAGATAAAATTTTCTATAAAAACTGAAATAATTTAACTGAAATTTATCTATATATTTAAATTTGAATGCTTCAGATGTATATCAGAGAGTATAAAATATATCAGTGAACTGTCACATCATTCATATAGAATAAAGTCAATCTCTAATTTGTAAACGTAGAATAATCCAATGAGTTGCTTGATTAGACAAAAAAACTGAAAAATTCTTCAGAATCAAACACACTTTACCTTAAGTTTCTATAAGACGAAGTACAACAACATTTTCAAAATCTCTCTTTTTGTATTTCTTTCATTTTTGATTGATTATAATTTGTAATTCAATAGATAATCATCTTTTTCTTCAATGTGAAAATGATCCAAACAATTGAGTTTTATATTTTTATAGAATACTGTTAATGTCCAATTTATTAGAGTAATTAAAACAAATAGTACTTTTAGTATTCCAAAGTTAGTTAAATATTGATTTATCATAATAACACATTCTAATGTACTTTTTTCCTCAATGAAAAATAGTCCATCGAGTAAATGTTTCCCTTATTTTTCTTTTATTTATTGTATGTTGCAGTGATGTTTTATGTATACAGAACAAGAAATAGAGAGCTTCTAAAATCATACAGGCCTTGCTATAGTCATAATAACGTAAGCTATGTTGTTTCACAAAAAGAGAAATGCATATGAATAAAATAACGATGACAGCAAAAACTTGACTTTTTCTCGATAGAAAACACCATTTCCATGATTATATTAGAATGAATACGGAAACTTCGGGCTTTATCCGAGAGTTATGTGTACCGCAAAAAAGTGTATATGGGAATCATATGGAAATATCAGTATTCTTGCAAAAACTCGGGAATGGCTCGTCCAATTAGGTTCAACTTCGAACTCGACCGAGACCCGCCACAATCACGCACACACTCACACCCACCCTCAAGAGATTTTATCTTTCAAGATTACAGGAAGCAATGAAGGACGTATCTGGGGTACAGATATTTATACAGATGACTCTTACCTTGCTGCTGCTATTGAACATGCAGATATTGTGGGTGGGTGGGTGAGTGTCTCTTCCTTTAGTAAACAACTACACTCACACCCGCACCCGATATAATATTTTTCAACGTTATAGGTTAAAGTGGAAGCATAACGTTTTGCTATATTATTATCAGACGTTAAGAAGATGTCTTATCCATAAAGAAAACGCTTATTTTTTGTTAGATCATGTAGCTGTAGCGATCTCTTTTATTTAATAATGGCAACAAAATATTTGATCAGTTGAAAAGATGAAACGAGCAGTAAAATAACACATAAATGATCAGTTAAAAGAATGAATGATCAGTAGTTAAATGATCAGTAAATAATATGAAAGTGATCAGTTTTTTAAATAAACTACCAGTAATTAAATCATCTTTTAGCAGTAGAAAGTAAAAATCATGATCAGTAAGAAAAGAAAATTCGATCAGTAAATTAGATGAAATTACCAGTAGAAAAGCTACTTACTCATGAAGTATAATATAGAACAAAAAAAAAGGAACAGAAAAAAAGAAATTAGAGTTGAATTATTGCACCACTAATGCACGTTTGGCTTTTGCTGGTCGTCCTCGTTTTCTTTTGCTGTTGATTGGAATTGCTTTTGCTGCTGCAGGTGGTTTGCAAATTTTCAGACGAATAGCCATTCCAACCATATGCTTGC